TTATTTTGTATAAATTTTTATTAATTTTATATAAATTCTGCCACTGCCTGCAGTCCGTCTGGGATTTTAAGAAGCTACTCAAGCACCAGAGTTCTAATAACGTGACTCCTTACCTCTGCTTACTAGTGGCTTAGTGTATTTAATTGTCACAAAGCAGGAAATAAATATCCTTGTCCATAGTTTCTGTGTCTAAGAGCAGAAGTGATAGGGTTCTGGAAGGGAAGGGTGGTTCCCTCATGCACGTCATTAAAAGTAGTTGAACCAAAACCACTATTGGAGACCTGAATATGAATTTTATTTGCTGCGATCTGTGCAAATTCTTTCTACCCACTCCCATCGATTTTTTTCTTTGGTTCCTTGTAAGTATTTAACTGACATAGACAGTCTTAAATTTTGCTATAATTGTACATGTATTTTATCATGTAGTGCTGAATTACTTTGTGAATAACAATGTAAAACAACTTAGAGCAGTCTAGAGTGTTTCTACAAACTATCATCTGAAAGGAAGTCGAAGACCTAAGATGGGAAAACCAGGTGGCACATAAATAGAACATTTGCTTTTAAAAATTAAAAAAAGCTCTTTAAAACATGCCACTTACTTATATTACATTAAAGATTAAAGTAGTGACTCAGATTACATAGAGAGATGCCTCATTTCAGTGCACCACGTTTTGTTGCTGCTGTTAAAACTTTCTTAAGACTAATAGTTGCTGTTACCTGGAATCCTGTGTGCTCGTGTGCCTCGGAAAGGCAAAGGGGGATTTATATCAAAACCTCGTTGTAATTAGGAAATTCTTCAGCAATTCCTCACAACAGTTTTGGACTTAGACATAGTCCCTTGTGACCGACTAGTTCCTTCCTTACTGTGTATCTGATTACAAGACCTGTTGTGTTTCCGTAGCAGTTACTTCAGTTCACTAATAAATCTGAAGCTCTGATCACACAGCTGAACCAAGGTGTGTTCTTTGATTCATTCCAGGTGAATAACCCATTTGCTTGCCTTTTGTTTACAAAGCTTGTGCAAATCACAGTAGCCAAACCAGTGCACTTTGCCATTACACATTCAGTGTTCCTTCATTATTTTAAGGTCTCCCCTTAAAATAAATTTTCTTGTTTCAGGTAGCTTATGAGAAACTATAAAACTGTTCTCTAATCAACTTTCTTCATTAATTCTGCTTCTTACTTATTTTGTTAGTGAAATACAGAAATCTCTGTTTCTGTATCATAGAATCATAGTTTCATAGAATGGTTTGGGTTGGAAGGGACCTTAAAGCTCATCCAGTTCCAACCCCCCTGCCATCAGCAGGGACACCTTCCACTAGACCAGGTTGCTCAAAGCCTCATCCAGCCTGGCCTTCAACACTTCCAGGGAGGAGCAGCCACAACTTCCTTGGGCAACCTGTTCCAGTGTCTCACCACCCTCACAGTGAAGAACTTCTTCCTAATATCTCATCTAAACCTCCCCTCTTTCAGCTTAAACCCATTTCCCCTTGTTTTGTCATTAACTGCCCTTATGAAAAGTCCTTATGATAGCTCAGTTTTGTACACTTCAGAATTTAATGGTTTTATGGTAACCTTTTTTTCGCTGGAGTTAATTTCTTTAGGCTATGAAAGTGGATCTGATTCAGCCTAATGCTATTTCTGTGGGGAAAAAAAAAATGAGATGTGTGCTGTGTAGTCTCTGCCTTATGAAAGCATTGCTTGGTTTTTTGAATACCAGTGGAAATCAACGAGTCCTAATAATTCTAACAAAGTAAACTTGTAGCCTGAATACCTGTAGGTTTCTTCATATTTGAGAAATTAATAACAGGTTGTACATATAGAGCTGAATTGAGGAGGAATTTATGCCCCAACAAGCATTTAATGCTCCTGGATATTCTCTTTAATCAGAGTGCAATTTGAGATGTCAAAACACCAGATAAAATTGTGAATGGTAGTGTTCTCACCTCTTTTTCCCAGATGCTTATAACTTTTAAAAATGTCTGATAAAATTGTGAATGGTAGTGTTCTCACCTCTACTTTTCCCCAGATGCTTATGACTTTTAAAAATGTCTATGAAAGCATTTGTTATTGTGAAAGCCTTAAGTTTAAAATCCAGCTGAATTGAAATAACAGGATTTTAAATTATGACCATTTTTCCCAGAATGATGATAATGGAAACTGAGGTTGTGTGAAGATTACAATGAAAAATGCTATCCTAGACATGCCACTGTCCTGCTCTATTTATGAAGGTGCTAATAAAAGTTGTGCTTTTTGTTTTCCCCTCCCATTCTTTTAGGTTTGTTGACTGGTGTTGTTGTGGACTCTGGAGATGGTGTAACTCATATTTGCCCAGTTTATGAAGGTTTCTCTCTCCCTCATCTCACCAGACGGTTAGATATCGCTGGGAGGGATATCACTAGGTACCTCATTAAGGTAAGCAAGAAAAAAGCCTCAACCTTAACAAATTCTATCGGTGGTACATTGGTTCAAGTTAAAATCCCTTGATAGCAAGAAACCACTATACATTTTCCCTTTATTATTCATATGTTAATTATATAAAGAACTGTATTCTTTGTATTACTTCAGTCTGTCCTTATTATGTTTCCTCATCTGAATCGCATGTGATATTATTGATATTATTCAGAGAGTTCACATTTCTTTAGTGACAGTCTTGTTGGAAGGGATTTTATTCCATATTTGGAATGAAAAACTCAAAAATTGGCTTTCTTAATACATGAAGTAAAGATAAAGTTTTATTCTAGCAGTTCTACTCGTCTGTTTGCAAAAAAACTTTTTCTTACAGTGTGGAAAATAGCATAGTGATTCTTCCCTGATTATTAAATAAGACAGTATGTTTTATAGACTGTTTTTTTTTTTAATATAAGCAACATTCTGGATTGACCAATCTTCTGGTTAAACTGGAATACTGGACTGTTGTGAAGTCCTAAATATAAGAATTGTTTTGGTTCTCTCTCACTTGTCTTTGTAACAGTTATACTGAAAGTTGTAATGACAATTTCCCATTTGGAGTAATGCTGTTCTGCTTTTCTGGTAATTATGGATCCACTGTGACAGATTTGACTTAATACTAAATTTGCAATTAAAAAAGGGAGATGACCTTTTAAAGCTACGTGTTGGGATCTACCTATCTACTGATAGAGAGATCTGGACTCATTTACTCATCCTCTCATTTCCTGCTAACATACTGTGTTCCCTCCAGCTCCTCTTACTGCGAGGGTATGCTTTCAACCACTCTGCTGATTTTGAGACTGTTCGCATGATCAAGGAAAAGCTGTGTTATGTGGGGTACAACATTGAACAGGAGCAGAAACTGGCATTAGAGACCACAGTACTAGTTGAATCCTACACGGTGAGTGTTTTGAGACAGCTTTTCTTGTCCTAAACTTCAGAGGTTTAAATTCAGGTACCATTTAGCTTTGATTCCTTCTAAGTTTTTCTTGGCAGTAGCTCACTTCCTAGTCATAGAAGTCTGTAGAATCTGATTACTTAGTTCTGGGAGAACTTCTAAAAGCTTTTTTTCCTCTCTTTTTATATTTTCTGTAAGACACTTTGCTCATTTTTGTCATTGCAGATGTTTGAAATTTGAATATTACAGTACAGGAACTTGTAGCTAAAGCATATGTACTCTAGCACATCAGGTTGCTTCAGCTTCCTCCATCTAGCAGTGACACATATGGGATGTATATGGTGACACGAATGGTAAACTTGCTCTTAGTGGAAGCTTCCTGTGATCACACACAGAAGAACTTGCAGCATAGCTTTACTCTTGATGTAGGATCATCTTTAATATTAATATTAGGAGCTGTATTGCAAGGAAATGTTGGGTACATCAGTGTCAACGTATCTGGTCCCTGATGTCTCTAAGTAAATTGCATAATGATTGAAGAGTTTGTATCTTCTTGACTTCTTACAGTGGTGACAATGATCAACAATTTCCTGTTTTAAAACGTTAGGGAACAATGTAGGTCATTTCCTCTGGTTTATGTAGTATCCAAGTGGCTAAAAGTAGTCTTCTAAATGGTGTTTATTCTTCACTAGCTCCCAGATGGCAGGATTATCAAAGTTGGTGGAGAACGGTTTGAGGCACCAGAGGCTCTCTTCCAGCCTCACTTAATCAACGTAGAGGGGGTTGGTGTGGCTGAATTGCTGTTTAACACAATCCAGGCTGCTGATATTGATACCAGGTAAGAACAGAACATTGAAAATCATCTGTCAGGGAGCAGGGGTGACATGGAAACTGCATTCAAACAAAATAACATCTTTTGCTTTAGACACCAATACGTGCAGTGCTGGGGAAGGAAGGGTGTATACTGGGAACAGGGCTCAGCCTGAGATCTTGGAGCTTAACATGTTGTCTGGAAACTTGGCTATTTTGGTATGAATGAGCAAGGATAAAATCTTGAAAGCACAGTATTTTTTTCACTGCTGCTTTCTGGGATGCCCGGAAAAGCATAAGCAAGTCTGCCAAACGCGTGCAAGGCCTGTCTTGGTGTAGTGACCATTTTTTAGATATGTATTTGCTCCCCTGTACGTGCAGGTACCTACTTGTACTACAGAGTATCCTGTACGACACTAGAAAGACTATTTTTTAATTTAATTTAATTTTATTTTATTTTCTTTGGTCAGGTCTGAATTCTACAAGCACATTGTGCTGTCTGGAGGGTCCACCATGTACCCTGGGCTGCCTTCGCGACTGGAGCGGGAACTTAAACAGCTCTACCTGGAACGAGTTCTGAAAGGAGATGTGGAAAAACTCTCGGTAGGTACCGAGTTGCTGCTTTATTTGTGTGGGGCCGAGGTTTATCCTGAATCCCCACTAGAGGGAACCAAGTCGTCAGAAATGACAGAAGCTGCTGGTGGCCCTCCACACAACTTGGAAAATTGCTGCCTCTCAGAAATCCACCTTCTAGTCCCTGCTAATAGCAAGTTTTAACTGAAGTTTTGGGTTAGTTTGAATGTGAAATGGGCTGATAGATGCTAGGGCACAACTTGGAACATGGGTTAAACCAAGCTAATGAGGTTTTGTGCCTTAAAGTCATCATTGAGCAAAAATATATTTTTTTATTTTTTTAATCTTTGAAAGTTTTGGTTCATTCTATAAGTGAAATACTCAAAAGTAAGAGGCTAAAGTTCTCAGGCACCTTCAAGTGGAATAAATCTCCCTTGTTCCTTGGTTTGTGATAAGCAAACAACAGCCACACACACGTTACAGAGGTGACACTGCACTGTAAAGCCATTTGCTTTTCAAGGAGAAGATATTTATGGAGAAAACTCCTTTGAGTGGAGTTTCTAATGCTGAACTGAACTTCTCTGGTTCTTAATACAGTGTTCTCTGAAGATCTTTTGCAGCTATATGGAATGACTCAGTTGTACAGAATGTTTCTAGACAGTATTTCACACATAGCTTTGACTGTACTCATTTTTGCTCTGGAAGTTAGAGCTTTAGCGTCAAAGAATTTAAGGGAATATTAATGAGTTAAACTGGTCTAGATTGTGTAAATTTAAAATCTGTTCCATCTACCCTTCTAAAACTTGGTATAATTCTAAAATATTTTGTGATTTGATGATCTGGTAACTTCTGATAGCTTTAGCCATCAAAGCTTAGGAAGTATTTCACACTCTACTATATTTGTGAAATGCAAAAATACAGTCTTTAATTTTGTATTCTGACTCCCAGGCTTTTTGTAGATACATAATTTTGGGGAAAGTGTCAATAACTGTCTCTAATTTCCAGTGCAAAGGAGTTATTTTATTTAGGTTGCACAAGCTGGGAGCTCACACAGAGTGCCCTGTGCATTTTTCTCACCAACCAGTTTCCATTTCATTGTTCTGGTGGAAAGCACAATTTTTATTTCAAAAGGCTTTGTTTCCAGAATCCTAGTAACAGTTTCTTTTCTTTTTCTTAGAAATTTAAGATCCGAATTGAAGATCCACCTCGTCGAAAGCACATGGTGTTTTTAGGTGGCGCGGTTCTAGCAGACATCATGAAAGACAAAGACAACTTCTGGATGACCCGACAAGAATACCAAGAAAAGGGAGTGCGTGTGCTGGAGAAGCTTGGTGTGACTGTTCGATAAATCCCAAAGCTTGTTCCCATCACATGTCTAAAGCTTTTTTTTTTGTTTTGTTTTGTTTTTTTCCTTTCATTGCCAATCTCTGAACTCACTCAGCTACATGCTATGGAAAGGGCCTGTCTGTGGCCTTTTGACCCAAAGGTCAGGTTTTGTTCTGGTTTCTTGGGGTAACTTTTGTTAAATGTTTCTTAATGTGGCTAAATTTGACTATTAAATTTGACCACTTCCCTGAAAACAAAACAGAGCAAGAGCAGCCTGTCTACTTCATTGTTCCTTCCCAGTAGGCAATTGGGTAATTCTGGTAGGCTTTTTTCTTCTGGGTTTATTGCTGTAGTACTGCTAGCTTTTGTCTCTAGTTCACAAAGGGTTGTGTGCCTTTTTTAGCGTAAGAAAACCTTTCAACAGGAGTTTTTGCTATTGGATCATTGTGGTGGTGATCTTTGCATCTTTTTGCCTCTCTCTACATTAAGATTATTATTTTTTTCTTTCCTGCAATTAGGAATTTTGATTAAACATTGTTAGGAACTAGTTTAACTAGCTGGAATGGCTTTAACACACTGTTTCGATGTAATGTGGTTCCGTACGCGCTGCTGCCTAAACTGGCTTCTGAGGTGGTTTAACCTTCAAGGTGGTGGCGGGGCTTTCATACTGTATTTCTCTAAGTGAACATGTCCACAGTTGCCACAAAGGAAGAAACACCTGATATTCTGGCAAATGTAAATTTGTGGCCTTAGGTGTCTTTTTCTGGAGGGAGGAGACAGGTTTGAGCCGTGTTGCTTTTCTGTTAAGGGACAGCTGGGGGTCAGCCTGACCAAAAATGCCTCTTTTTATAGCTAAATTTTGGTACTGTGTTGTCTCAGCATAGGGAGCAAGAATGTTAAATTAGCTGTTCTGTAATTTTTGAGAAACTCTAGATGTGCTGAGACAGGAGCCTCTAAACTTCTGAAGAGATTTAATACTTTCAGAAATGCTTGTGAAAACTGTAACTATAGATATTAAAAACCCCAAAACTAAGTTTTAAAAGTCTGATGTTTTAAGTGCTTGTATGTACATCAGAAGCACTTCCATTAAACTTTACAAGTATATTAACCTAGTGCCAAGTAGTTCCTGCAAATGAATATTTCAATGACCAGTGTTTATTGCAGCACGCAGATATTTATAAACAACCCCTGGCAGTAGGTTATAAAGAATGATCTATACTTGTTCCGCTTAAAAATAACTTTGGAATACGAGATGTTGTTGGTTGGTAAATATCCACAATTCATTTTGTCCAGTTTTGATTTTTTTGATACTTAACGTGGGATGGGAAAGGAAGTGAAAACCAGTGATGAAAATGCTGTTTTGAGAAAGTACATTAAAGCTGAGTTGTTCTGAAAAATAGAAGTTGTCACTAGTAATTATCAGCCACCGAGTATAGTTGCCTGTATTTTCTTCCTACTAGCAGACTGGTAACTATCTGCAATGAAATCTGCCTTACATAAAGCACAGCAAAAACTGCTGGCATCCGAATGCCAGTTAGACTTAGTTCTACTTTGCTTTTCCTGGAAATATTATATATCACTTCTTTACTGGTTTTCCAAGCCTACCATAACATTTAAGCATAAGGAAGTTAAGATGTGATTTTTTGACTTCCAAACCTTGGAATGTAAGAGATACGCTTTCATATACTTGCCATTTGTCTACATCTTCACAGTTAATAATTGACCCCAGGAACATGGAAATATTAAACTCCCTTGGATTCTTAAAATTTGCTTTCTTTCTAAATCGAGCAGACAGCTTCCTTTTAGCTGAGCGAGCCAAACGGGCAGAAACCATGTCTGCATTTCTTTAATAACAAGACAGTCGCTATAGTATTGCTAGTAATGACCATTTAATTATAGGTGGGTGGGGTTTTTTGCAGCTATATTTACTCTTAACTTGAACAATATGAATTTACAGGCATGCCGGTCATGCCTCAGTGCATGCACTTAAGCAGTTACTAGATTTTTTTTTGGGGACATGAATGTAAGGGGTACTCTGAATTCCTGTAGTCTTCTGAACATTTAATACACAAGATTTAAAAATGCTGTGGGCTTGCTTTAGAGCTATGGTTTCTCATGTAACTGTCTCTGGGCTTTTTGGACAGTGTTGAGAATCATGGAAATAAACCAAAGAATGACTTAAAAACCTTTTTTTAGATACAATCTGTCATGTGATTTTTTTTTTTTTTAAATTTTAGGTTTTTTTTCCCAAATCTAGACCTTGACCCTGCAACCCCTTTTCTAAACCATCTTCTCCCCTGTCGATTGGCTTCAGTTAGGTATATGTGCATGTTTTGAGTAAAGGTTTGGGAATTTGGCCCTTTCACTGGAGTACTTCACAGCACCATGAGTAAGAAATGTCAGTTGATTGTGCAGAATCTTGGGTTTCCATGGAAACCATGTATATATTTTAAAAAAAAAAAGGCAACTAGCATTTTAAATTAGAGCTATCATGGATTCAGGAGAATGCATACGTAATGCAAACACTGAATGGGGTGTTCCAGTTGTGCTCAGTGTGGTTCTCCCTGTGTGTGTTTGCACACACCAGAGTGTATGTGTGTGTTCTCTCTCAGCTGACAGCTTCAATATTGCTATGAAAGCAATCTGGTTTGAAAGTTTTTTGGGTGGTTTTTTTTTTTTTTTTTGAAGACCAAATAACTTGAGTTGTATTTGCAATATGCTTCAGCTCTTGTAAAATTAGAATAGAAGATGCCGCATCAGTTGTACGTTTTTTGGGAACATCCTATTTTTAATGTTAAGCTGCTTCAAACCCCTCCCTCCCACCCCTCCCCCCAAGTGTTTTAGGATGTTAACCGATGTAACACAAATGGCTTTTTATACAGTTCTGAATAATGTTAACACACAACACTGGTTGAGACCATGAATGGAAATAAACAGCTATTTAAATTGACAGGTCTTTTCAATACAAAAATAAAATCAGATTTTTTTCAAAGTAGATTATGTTTGCTTTGTTTCCTTTGGGAAATCACAGTTCTGTCAGTTTTTCTCTAACTTAACTTTCATCACAAAACTGTCATGAGCTGCTTGTGGTGAGGAAATCTGACATGACAAAATAACACATTCCCTTTTGATTGCTGTTGTAGAGTGAGAAAAGCACCCCGACTCTATTCTCTAGCCAAGATTCCCCTCCCTCCATCCTCGTTTCTTTAAAAAGAAAATAAAACCCTTATACTTGGACAGGAATCTTTTCTAGTTCAAGCTCTGTGCTTGGTACTGCAAAATGAGAAAAGCCCTCAACTTGTATTGACCTCAGCTCAGAAGCAGCTCAGGCTGAGCTCAGAAGCCACATGATGATGCTCAGTTGAGGAAAAAATCCCCTTGGAATTGTGACCTCATGTGCTACATCACCTGCATCCCTCACTTTAAGTGATAGAAGAACTGTATAGGGGGTTAATGTATAGCATTTAGAAAGATGCACTTGTTTGAAGCAGCTTTTGGACCTGGAATTCTGTCATTCTTAACTTGGTGTCAAGATCAGTGGCTGGCCAGCTAATCACAATGGATTTATCTGGCTTTTGAAACGAGCTCAGCCAGCCTCTTCACCCCAGCTCATTGTACATGCTGTTCTCTAGGTACGTTCCCCAGGCATCATGATAATGGCTTTGGTTGTCTTGGAGTGAACCAGTATGTGCAGTTTGGCTCTGGGTGCATCTCTCTAGGTCAAACACATACAGGTAGACAGGATTTTAATAGCAAAAATAAAATTCAAAAAAAAAGCCTGCAAAACCCAGATCTTTATTCGATCACTGTGCATTCTTGGGGTAAAAAAATAAATCAATCAGGCTTTGCCTCTGCTCAGTAATAATTCACGTTCCCCACACCTCCCCTTTGGCTTGCTTTGCCTGACATGGCTTTTACTTGGAAAGGACTAAATACAGCTCAGTAGACATTTGTTAGTCAGCTTATTCAATAGTGAATTCCTCCCTGCGGGCACTTCATCTGTTTGCCACCAACAAGCTTCATTAGCTGTTTCAATACTGCAAAAATCAAGTTTTCTTTTGTCTTTGTTTGTTTGTTGTTTTGTGGTGTGGTTGGTTTTTGCTTTTTTTTTTAAAAAAAAAAAAAATATCCAAATATATCTCTTACTGTGTTCTAGCCACCAGGAGAACAGCATTATAAAAAAAAAAATTGGTTTGGACCTTTTCAGCAAGTATTAAAATCTAAACTAAAATTTTGCTTTATTTGAGCGCTGCTGTGTCATATGGAATACTTGTTGCTCTCTAATGGGTTAGTTTGTTGTCCTGGTGGTTTAAGTCACTGTCAGTTTGCCTCATGGAAAAAAATAATAATAATCTTCCAGTCAAAGTAGGCTGCTAGTTTTGCCTCTTACCTTCTCTGCACTACAACATTAGTATCAGCTTTAAGTAACATCCCTTGGGTAAATAGCTCACCTTTCTGTAACCTGTTGTTGCAGCCTGTTGTCCCAACTGAGAACTGCACATCTGCTTATTGCCCAGACACCTGGAGAAGGGCTTCTTGTCTTCCTTGTGCTGAGTTCTGCTCTGGTGCTGCTGAAACAAGGAGGAGAAGTTCAGGGAGGAGAGGAAGCACAGGGCTTTGCTTCTCAATTTTTTTTTTTACTTTTTTTTTCCCCCCTTTGAAAGTAATTCCTTAACATTGAAGATTAGGGAAACAGTTTCTATTCTGAGTGAGGAGTAAAGTATATTAAGAATCTTAGTAGAGACTTGGGATGATGCTAAGGGGCATCTTCCAACCGCAGGATTGTTCCTTCCCACACCTTTAAAAAATAAATAAATAAATGAAAATCTCTGTTCCCCAAAGCCCAGGAATGGTAATTAAACTGTAGCTGCAGGAATAATGACAGATACGGGCCCCTTGCCTACACCTTTTCAGCGCTGCGCCCATCTCCCATCTGGTTTTTTGTTTGCCCTCAGGCGTAAGTGGTTTCGAGATCCTCCTCTTGCGCGCATGTTCTCGCCACGTGCCCATTTTCAATCTCTCCAGGTATTTTTAACGAATTAATTAATTGCCAGTTGCTGACCTCAAACACAAGTACATCCTGTAAGTCCTGACTTGCATCAGGCACTTTTTTCTTAGTGCAGCAGCCCTTCTGGGGGGGGGCTACTCCAAACCTTTGTGTTGTCCAATAATTTTCTGTTCTAAACCACTCTGTGTGACCCTGATGTGGGCAGGAAAGGCAAGGGTGGCATTAAGGACGTGAAAGACAGTATTTTGGGAAGCACCTAACCGCATAATCATATTTTAAGGTTTTCTCATTGTAGTGGGTATCAACACTTCAAACCACCAAGGGGCAGGTCCATTAAGAGCAGCTGGGATTTATGTTAGCACCTGTAATAGTGGGAGATTGTCCTTTCTAAGAAAAAATCTTCTTATAAAGTGGGTGCTGGTGCTTCCCATCGTGCTGCTGGGTAATAACATGAGCTTTTGAAATGTGGTCAGTGCTGGAATCCATGTAGTACCACGTGAGAACAAAATGCTGTAATGATAATTGCTCGTCATCTAATTATACAAGAACTTACAGCCCCGGAGGGTGAACAAGTAATTAAATGATTATCCACTTTTAAAATGGCAACAAAGAAATGAGGAATATTCATTCTTTTGGCTCTAGTTCCAGTACTGTCAGGGGAGTCACGTGTTCCTCCAAAGGTGAATGAGGCAATGCAGGACAGACTGAGCTCTCTCCCTCCTGAATGCTGTAGGGAGTTATTGAGGCAGGGAACTTGCTTTTAGGAGAGTCAACTGCTTACTCAAAGGCAACTCAACTTTTGAGCTGCAACTCAAACATTAAGGAGGATTCACCTACCCAGGTTATCCAGGAAGGCAGCTGGCCTCCAGAGCTGCATGGGGCACCTTTTACATTCAAGGATTTGCTTGTGCAGGATTTTAAATAGAATATATCTGGAGTGCTTGATCCTTCACTATGGATGCCATGTGCTGGGGAAAGGACTTGGGTTTAACCCACGTTGGGGCACGCAGGGGTGCCCCATGGGGCATGTTTACCCCATGTTACCACCTAGGAAAAGAACTGCCTGTCAAAAAAGCAGCAGCATTTCTCTGTATGATTAAAGACCCTGCAGAGTTTGCACCAGCAGTAGTAGGACCTCTGTAAAACTCTTATCCTGAACGCTGAACCCACCAACGATAAGCACCCTAGGCTCTAATTTCACTTGGCAAAAAGTACCAGACAGCTTCGACCTCATCTCGAGGCTCATACCTTCCTTCAGAGCCCTCATTCATCGAATCATAGAATAGTTTGGTTGGAAAACACCATTAGGACCATCTAGTCCAACTGTAAACCTGGCACTGCCAAGTTCACCACTAAACTATTAAAGCATGTCCCTGTGCACCA